CACATTCTATTTTTTTAGAAAGCGATCGGCAGCCAACGAAAAGACCCAGGACGGCTTACACCACCGCCCAGCTAACAGAGTTGGAGAAAGAATTTCATTTTAACCGGTATTTGTGTCGACCCCGCCGTGTTGAAATGGCGGGTCTCCTTCACTTAACCGAGCGACAAATCAAGATCTGGTTTCAGAACAGACGGATGAAGCACAAGAAAGATCAGAATAAAAAAGTGCTTCGGGAAAAGTGCCCTAGTCCTCAGTCAGGAAGTGCTACTAATTCTCCTCTATCGATCCCCACGAGCCCTGCTACTCCTACCTTAGCACTCTCGGTATCAACTTCTGGACCAGCTTCGCCTTTCAACTACACGTGTCTTGGACAAGCTGACCAGTTCTCACACCGATTTACGACAGACATACACGGTGATGGTTCTCATCTTGTGCGCCCCAGTTGCCACAAACAAAACTTGGAACAAAAGTCACTTGTCGGTAGTGTCTCTGTGTCACTGTTAGAACCTGATGCTCACCCAAATATGACTGTTCTTCAAGAACCCAGATCCCCTCTGATGAACTCTAGTTCAGTGTCCGAGCACTTGTTTTACGCAGCCCTTTCTAACCAAACAGTGCCCATTCAGCAAGAACCAAAGTATTATCACGTCAATATTAATGGAGAACCCTATCCTGTCATCCATCAGGAATCACAGCCTCACTTCCATCAGTCGCCACCAGCAGTGAAATCGCATGGAATACACCCCCAAGTCCAACTGGAAACCCCTTGCCAAAATCAACAGTACCTTGTGACTAGTGACTGGACACAACAGCGCCACCTGACCTTACCTTTTGCACCAAAACTCACCCACCTTTAAATGATAACAGTGTTCTTTTTTTTTTTTCGCTTGACGATATATTTTAATATAGGTTTTTAAGTTTATCTTACTGTATGATTCAGATGCTACAAATTAGTTACATGTTTGTGTTTGGAGAGCATTTTATCAATTATATTTACTCCAGCTTTATTAAAGTTTCAAGTTAGATATTGATTTAAATGTGATAGAACTTCTGAGTAACCTGTGAGATATCACTGAAGTGTTATACACAGTATATTTTCTGTACAATATGTTTAATAACTTGTAATTAGTTCTACTTACATCATACCAACATACTTCTTTATGTACCAGTCTACGTTCATGTGGTACTTCTGTATACCAGTCTACGTTCATGTGGGACTTCTGTATACCAGTCTTTGTTCATGTGGTACTTCTGTATACCAGTCTATATTCATGTGGTACTTCTTTATGTACCAGTCTACGTTCATGTGGGACTTCTGTATACCAGTCTTTGTTCATGTGGTACTTCTGTATACCAGTCTATATTCATGTGGTACTTCTTTATGTACCAGTCTACGTTCATGTGGGACTTCTGTATACCAGTCTTTGTTCATGTGGTACTTCTGTATACTGGGGTACTTCTGAGGTAATGACGAGTTCCGTACATTATGAAGAATGTGACAATGACGAGTTTCGTACATTATGAAGAATGGGACAATGACGAGTTCCGTACATTATGATAAATGGGGTAATGACGAGTTCCGTACATTATGAAGAATGGAGCAATGACGAGTTCCGTACATTATGAAGAATGGGGTTATGACGAGTTCCGTACATTATGATAAATGGGGTAATGACGAGTTTCGTACATTATGAAGAATGGAGCAATGACGAGTTCCGTACATTATGAAGAATGGGGTAATGACGAGTTTCGTACATTATAACGAAGATTTAGAAACATACCTTTCCAACAGAACGTGAAAGACCAACATTATCGCTGGAAGGGAAAAGACATTTGTAGCTAGATAACAATCTGACCTCATGTAACATACTTATGTGGGCCTACAAAAGTATTTGATCTCTTACTGGATAACAGCGTGACAGCTCGTGTTTCTTTCCACCAACCCGGATCACCCTCCTGTCAAACACAGAACATTATACAGGTCTTGCGATTCCCAGAATTCAGCCCACCAATCACAGTCCTCCTTTTGTCGGTGACCAGACGAATGTCCAATTTGAAGTAAACTGCTTGGAATGATAGAGAATAAAAAGCACAAAGACGTGGTATAAAAATTACGTTATAGCTGAACGTATGCAGACAAAACAATATAAAACGTTAATGAAAACTACGTACGAAAAGTCCCAGAGACTCCATTAGCGTAAGGAGACCAAACAGAGTGAAACGTTTTGTATTAATTTCTTTATCGATATATACTTATACAATTTGAACTGTTTCCGACGAAACGTAATTTTCTAGTAACATTCTTCTACACAGATAGAATATCATATTGATTTATAAGATCGGATAAGATGATTATAGTACTGTTTCTTTAAAACATATTCTGTAAATCAGCACAAAATATTTTTCATGTATTATTTTGACTTCTCAGAGTACATGCATATTCGGAAAAATGTATTTAGGTATATATATGTTTCTTATTTAATGACGGTTTAACGTTTAAATATGGTATCTTGACCCGTTACCAAAGCGTGTTAACATACAGTTCTAAGTAGTTAAGATACTGTTACCAAGTGACTATAGTCCGTGAACATTAAGTAGAATGTTTAAATATGGTATCCTGACCCCTTATGAATGTATTTATAAACCATGTTGACTCACCAAAGCGTGTTAACATACAGTTCTAAGTTGTTAAGATACTGTTACCAAGTGACTATAGTCCGTGAACATTAAGTAGAATGTTTAAATATGGTATCCTGACCCGTTATGAATGTGTTTTCAAACAGTGTTGACTCAACTAAACGCGTTAACATACACACAAACCCGTAAGTGTGCATCAGTTACTCCCTTCTTACATCTCTGTAAGCCTGAGAAAAAAAGGGTAAAACCATTAAGTTAAACATAGTAGCACTGACGTTTTTTCGATTCTTTATGTCTTAGGTTGTTTAGAGAGCCATGTTCTCTTTCCTCTGGTTATGTTCGTGACTCGTAATATGTTGTGTGTTGCCTAGAATGTTTCATTAAAATCAGGATGTAACATGCTAGAGTGAAAGATAAGCTATTGTGAATTGTATGAATATAGACTGAGAAGAACCTTGCAGAGATTATATTGTGATAATAAATTCTATGCAAATAATAGTGGTTTTAATGTCCCATTTTTTGTTTCACGATATTCTAAAATAGTATAATTTTCTTTTAAACGATTTTAATTAACGTAATTAAATACCGTGTAACAACCCGAGTGTATCATGTTGAATTAAAAAATGAACAAACATAACTTATGCAACAAAAACCTTTTAATACAACGTTACAACTGGTGTACTTGTGATATAGTATGGTGAAAAAATAAAACTAACAGTTTGAAAGAAAACAGGCTACCATATAATTCAAGGTCAGGAAGATCAAGAGTTTGTAATGTAACATCTGTGTCCAGTGAGCCAACTCTAGGAACAAGATAATTCAAGATAAGGAGTTTGTAATGTAACATTTGTGTCCAGTGAGCCAACTCTAGGAACAAGATAATTCAAGATAAGGAGTTTGTAATGTAACATTTGTGTCCAGTGACCCAACTCTAGAAATAAGATAATTCAAGATAAGTAGTTTGTAATGTAACAATTGAATTATCTTGTTCCTAGAGTTGGCTCACTGGACACAAATGTTACATTACAAACCCCTTATCTTGAATTATCTTGTTCCTAGAGTTGGCTCACTGGACACAAATGTTACATTACAAACTCCTTATCTTGAACTATCTTGTTCCTAGAGTTGGCTCACTGGACATAGATGTTACATTACAAACTCCTTATATCTTGAATGATCTTGTTCCTAGAGTTGGCTCACTGGACACAAATGTTACATTACAAACTCCTTATCTTGAACTATCTTGTTCCTAGAGTTGGTTCACTGGACACAGATGTTACATTACAAACTCCTTATCGTGAATTATCTTGTTCCTAAAGTTGGCTCACTGGACACAAATGTTACATTACAAACTCCTTATCTTGAATTATCTTGTTCCTAGAGTTGGCTCACTGGACACAGATGTTACATTACAAACTCCTTATCTTGAATTATCTTGTTCCTAGAGTTGGCTCACTGGACACAAAGGAGTTTGTAATGTAACATTTGTGTCCAGTG